TCGCCGAAGCGGCTCGTGCAATTTCAGCTTTTTGAAAAACTCACTCGTGCAAATTAATTCCAAATTGAACTCGAAACCGTATGATTACCTATACTTATTTGTCGTTGCTGTTGATCAGGTTGGGACATACACGGAACTTCTTCAAAATGAGGGAGCATTTTCTGAGTTCTTGAAGACATTTGCTTCTGAGCAGAATGCCGAGGAGAATGGTTTGTGGTTGTCATTGCTATTAGTGATTTGATACTGTATTTAAATTGTTGCTACTGGTCCATCAGCTACACATGCTTCAGACATGAAGTTAAGGTGGCTCAAAACAGTAATATTTTCGTCAGAAGCCTGGGCTCTGACGCACACGTCGGCGCCAGGCATCACGCGATCACCCCAGGGGTCGCGAGAAAGCGCGCGAGATTTAAAGTTTGCAAAACTCACAACAAACATGGCGGCCCGAGGCCTGCTTCGTAAAACTTTGTTTCCACCTAATTTAGGGAGCTGTTTACGATATCGCTTATTTTTATCTTCAAAAACATCCATCCTTCAGGCAATTGGAAATGAAAAAATATTCTTTTAAACCGCTGTGCTGGAACGTAAACAAAAATTGTGATTGATGTTGCGATCGATCGCGCTGGCGATCAATCCAAAAAACAGCAGGAAAAAGTTACTCTTCAATTTTTCTTCGTTCTTTTTACTAGGCCAGTCTCACCTTCGGATATTTATTGTACTCTTCTTCTACCGCTTATGCTGCTAACGACAACAGCAGAAAGAAGACACTATTCGCGGGTATTCGCGTTTATTCGCGTGGAATTGTGGGCTTTACTGAGAAGCGGACTGCCTTCACGCGTGCGCAAAGTGCGATCTTGCTAAGTCGAGATTTCATTTTGCTCGTAGAACGCGCGCTTAAAAACTACTTATCCACGAAGCTAATATCTCAAAAACTGATCCGGTGACCCTACTTTTTTAACGCAAAAAAAAATACTCAACAGCAAAAGCGGAATGCATGTGCGAAATTAAAAAAAAAAACTGTGGAGTGGAATTTTTCCAATCTTGAAATTTCCATTTTTTTAAATTTAAGCNAACGAACGAACGAACGAACGAACGAACGAAGGGAGGAAGGAAGGAACGAGTGGTTCGGTGACTGCGTGTTTGATTGAAGGAGTGATAGGCTGACTAACTCATTGGCTGATTTCTCATCCATTGATCCATTGATCGATCGATTGATTGACTTACCTTTCAACAGAGCCGAAACCAAGAACTGAATCTGTGTTGAGGGATGTCCCAGAGAACACAGATGGGATCGACCTCAGCTTTCAACGCAGCAACAGTCGCCTGGAGAGGAGAGACAGTCTGATGGATGGACAGCCATTCCGGAGAAAGCGAGCAGACAGCCTGTCTGTTGTCACTATCGACACCGCTGACCTGGACTGTCAATTTACCAGACCAGATGAACAACACGAGGACAAGATTATTGAAGAGGAGAAATCTGAAACTGGTCGGGTACGTTTGTAAGCTTACAACTTCAATGTTTGTTGGTTCTGAGGCAGTCGTAGTGTAACTCTTCAGATGAGATAGCCCTGGTTACGCCATCCTAGGTAAACATGGTTTCCCCAGTGTAATTTCCCTTTATTAACAAAGGTAAGGTTTCTTCTGCCGAAACGACTTGAAAGTTATAAAAACCTACCTAGGGTGTTCTAAGAGATACGCGCTTCCGCTGAGGGAGTTCCTTAGAAGGAAATATGGACGAATGAGAGATGTTTGTACTTTGTCCCTGGGGTATCTATGTTGTGGCGATGCTTAGCTAGACTACGAGTAGTCCCTCTTTCACGAAATCCTGAAATCCCTCACTGGAGCAAGATTACAAGACGAAGAAACCGTTGGAGCTGTTACGCTTNGGCTCTTTTAAGTTTGTCTTTTGTGTAGATGATATTGTGGTTTATCTTGAATTGAAACATTAACTTTGTATATTTCGTAACGAAAAAAGGCCATTTATGTAATTTTTGGATTTCAGAGGGCTCCACTCCGTTATTACTAGTTCGGTTTTCATTGGTAGGTGGTTGAAATTTGTTCTCAACAATTATTTTGTGCAGAGCAATGCAGCGCTGGAAAGATTTTCTTCATTGTCGTACCAGTTCTGTTTCCGTGCTTGCCTCTGTCTACCAGTAGGCGAAATTTGCCATTTATTTTTAATTGCACTGAGAAGGCCATAGTATAGAGTGAAACTAGATTTAACTTTGAAAAGGTTAACAAATTCTTGATACATTAGAAATTTTCCGCTATTAGGGTTTAAGAGGTGTTTAACTTTTGTAACACCCGCCTTGTGCCATGACTCAAAAAAATTGGCTTAGTTGCGATTGTTATTTCATGGTTGTTCCATATGATGGCGTCGTAATTGCCTTAAGGTTGTTACGTAGCTTAAGAAGAGTCTTGATGTTAGTCCTCTTTCATTAATCATTCACAGGTGAAGTTTGCAGTATTCTGGGCTTACGCCAAGTCGGTTAGAGTCTACCTGGCTATCGGCATTGTTCTGTTCATTGTCGTCGCAGAAATAGCCTCGGTGGCTTCAGGAATCTGGTTGGCGCGCTGGAGCTCCGCCAATGTCACGTCAGACGATGAGCGTGACATGTACTTAGGAGTCTACGGTGGTCTTGGCTTCCTGCAGGCTCTTAGTGTGCTCATATCAGCCTTGTGCTTGGCTGTGGGGTCGAAGATTGCTTCACGCTACCTTCATCAGAGTATCCTTGTGAACGTCATGCACTCGCCCATGTCGTTTTTTGAGACCACTCCCCTAGGGAGGATTGTGAACCGCTTCTCCAAAGACATCAGCACGATCGATGATATGGTACCCATGTCGCTGGCGAATTTTTTGAGGACGTTCTGCGGCGTTCTTGGTACCATCGTTGCGATCAGTTTCGCAACTCCCATTTTCCTGGCAGTGATTCTGCCTCTTGGCCTCTTCTACCTTTTTGTTCAGGTAAAGTGAAACATTATAAACCAAAATCACTGCGACCTTTTCGGGCCTGGAAAGCCATTTTTAGTTAATAGGTATTTAAAGACGGAGAGGTGTATACGCCTGAAACTTCTTGTATGAAGGAAACCTCTGTTCGTATTAAGAATATATGAATAAAACAGCTCTGTAGTTAAAAGGTTTGAGATTTTGCTACGGCTTTTCGGTTTCAAAAAACTTTTCGGGACCTTCGGGAAACGGGCCCCAGGCCTTGTCTCACGGGTTGGTGCTTTATTTAGGGTTGACCACATTGGGACTTTCCCCCTTGGGCAGAAAATTCCAAGAAAAATTGCTATGTCTATTTGAATAAGCACACGCTAGATTTTATCTACCTCATTACAAACGGTGCCTCGGGAACGCAGTATTCAGTAGCTTTTATTTCAAGCTTTCAATCTCCTCAGGAATGAATGGCATTGCTCAAAATCATTTGGTCATCTTTGTATAAAAAGTAAAGGGATTTCGAAAACTTACGGTTTATCTTTCAATTTACAGAGAGTATACGTAGCAACTTCTAGACAGCTGAAGAGAATCGAGTCAGTGAGTCGATCGCCAATCTTCAACAACTTCTTTGAGACAATCAACGGTGCGAGCACCATACGGGCATTTGGCCAGCAACAACGCTTAATCCGGGACAATTACTACAGGGTTGACGAAAATCACGTGGCATTTTATCCGGGAACCTCAGCTAACAGGTGCGTAAACACGTTTTGCTCGGTCTGACAGAAACCTTCGTCAAATGTGACGTTATTTTTGCTATTTTGAGTACTAGGTAATGACGAGGCCAAGTGTAGTTAACTACTGATTTTTTTTGCATGAAGTTTGAAAGTTTAAACAAATTTGAAAACGCTGAAAATGCATGTAAAATAAATCATTAACTGAACGTAGAAACATTGAGATTAAGTGGAAAATCTTTGAGGCAAGTCGTTTCAGGCCCGGTCCACACAACGTAGGCAGAATATGAAAACGTAGGTTTCTCGCTGAAAACGCCGTCTACGCTACACCGGAGGAATTTGAAAACGCACTAATCACCGATCATTTTGGATTTGTGCTTGCGGTAAACTCGTCAGTAAAATCATATGATTATCGCGACGCCATCGTTTTCGAAAAGCTTTTTCGTCCACACGAAAACAAAAAGACGGCGTTTTCAAATTCCTCCTGTTTGAAGAGCGTTTTCGAAAAGCTCCGTTTTCGATTAGTGTGGACGGTAGGGCCAACCGTAGAAACAAAGCTGCGGTTTCAAATTTCTTCGGCGTAGGGAGGACGCTGCCTCAATATCTGCATGTATAGGCAGTTGCATAAGTTTATTTTGTTTCCACAGGTGGCTTGCTCTTCGTTTGGAGTTTGTTGGCAACCTTATTATTCTTTTTGCCGCGTTATTCGCTGTAATAAGCCGTGAGTCCATAGAGAGTGGTCTGGTAGGATTGTCAATCAGCTACGCCTTGCAGGTTTGTGTTCTCCTTGGCATCGCAAATAGCGTAAATTGCTTTGTGTAATGAATGATACTGTGGAGCTGAAGAAGTAAAATGTTTCAATCACCAGATGTAACGAGCGAACTTGTGGTTTACATTTTAAAGACAATTTTAGAACTGTTTTTTTTTTTTTTTTTTTTTTTTTTTTTTTTCGCGTGAATGAAGCACTCGGGTTTAACGTTCATGCATTGTGGATTTGTTTTTGTTCCAACAACAGACTTGCACGTGGATATAACGGAATTTATTCATTCCTTGATAATGGCGTCATGAGGTCGCCGAAACGTTGGGAAATTATCTTGTTACTTTTTACTGGCTTATGTATTTCAAAAGCATCATTAATAAATCAAACATTTGATCAAAAATTGTAAAGCATTTTGTTTGTTCAAACATGTGTGATACCATTTGGTCATTTAGTGCAACGCCAACATGTTTAGTTACCAAACAATGTTTGATCACCAAACGTTTCCTGTTTGGACGGGGCTTTAGATCTTAGTTCTAGAGATTTAAAAAAGCCGCGCCCTTAATTTTAATTTGTTTTCATTTTAAGATCACCAACACTCTGAACTGGATGGTAAGGATGAGTAGCGAGCTGGAGACAAACATTGTATCAGTGGAACGAGTGAAGGAATATTCCGAGGCGCCCACTGAGGTAAAATAAAACTTATAGCGAATTGCTCTGCAGTGTAGCCTACGAGAAATAACAAAACTCCAATTAAATTTCTAAATCGGAGTTCGATAGATGCGTAGCTGCTTCTAAAATGCTGCTTCAGTGCTCAAGTGTTTTGAATTAGCGCTACGTTGCTCTTTGAGGGTGTGGCGTTAATTCGAAGGTGGTGCTTTTTTGTGCGGTAATTTAGCATACAGCTGTAACAGTAACTTTATGTAGTTACGTCGGTGCTCTGTCTAGCCCTTTATTTATGGTTATGCAAAGCTCTGTTTCATGAAGTGTTATGTAGGAGTGTATCTTCCAACCAACCATCAGTAATGCAACTCAACTATCGGCAGTGTCCCTTTAAGTGCTAATCACAATCTCGTATCATCTGACTTTGACTCTATTTTTAGGGTTACTGTCAGTTATCACGTACTATTCAACTATTCCCTGCAGTTATGTTTGTTTGTTTGTTGTTGTTGATTTTGATGTTGTTTTTCTGTTCTGCTGTTGTTATTGTCGTTGTTATTAGTTTGTTGGCAACGCCGTGATAGACAGTTTAAAGTTATGAAGATGTGAATCTAAGCTAACTTACTTAACTTACATTCAGTTTCTTTCCTATTTCCTTCAAGGCTGAGTGGATTATTCCAGATAATCGCCCCCCAGATGAGTGGCCTGATGCAGGGAACATTGTGATAGAAGATTTTGACTTGAAATACAGAGAAGGGTTGCCACTTGTACTGAAACAGATCAACTGTGATATTAAACCAGGAGAAAAGGTGCTCAACAATAGACTAATTGATTTCTTATGCCTTTGAGAGCGGTTTCTTTTTGTCAGTGTCGAAAAGTAACTTGTTTTGCATATCAACCATGCTTCATGATTGGCTTAAAAATAACTCGCGCCACTTTTTCATCCAATCAGAAGTGAATCCAAAGCCAATTGCGATTCGCTCGCACTTCTTTTCCCGCGCTTTTCGTTGCATGTGTATCCAGCCATCCGGCCTTCAGAATAACAGTCTATTACTGAGGAGATTTTAGTCCGGTTATTTTGCGTTGAAATTCATTTGAAAGCGAACTCAAGGGCCGATAATATTTCATCTTGTAACTGTTTTTATTTGTTGTATTGTCGTTTTGATTTAGATTGGTATTGTGGGTCGCACAGGAGCTGGCAAGTCAACGCTCACCTTAGCTTTGTTCCGTATTCTTGAGAGAGCTGGTGGACGAATCATGGTCGATGGTGTTGATATCGCTAAGATTGGACTTCAGGATCTGCGATCACGGCTCACAATCATCCCTCAGGTAGGAGAGAAAACGTACATAGCTGCGTATAGCCAGTATAGCCAAAGCTGAACTTTCTGTTTGTTTTTGTTTATGGTTTTAATTTGGTTGCTCGCTCTCGCCTGTAGTCTTGACTCATACACAGCTAGTTTATTAATCACAGAAAATATGAGGAACTTATGGCGTAGATAGCTCTTATACTTCATGTTAGCCGTGTAATGTATTTGTTCGAGAGCCCAAGGGGTAATAGTTATTGATGGTGTTGATATCGCTAAACTGCGTCTCCAGTAGTAACTAAGTTTATCTGACGTAAGTGTCATTATCATGACTTTGTATCACAAAGTAATGCACTTATTGTGACGAAGTAATTTCAACTGATTAGCAAGCACGTGGATTCGTGTTTACGTATTCTCTTCTATTTCGTATGGAGAGAGAGAGTTTATAAAGCACCGACACTAATATTGAGATGTTGGACTGTGTTCACAACTTCACCGCACGAAGCTTTCCTCTATTCTTCTTATTCCATAACTCTTTGATTCCTTCCCTCACCGACCGAAAGCACAAATCACATCTCTAGGTAAGCAAGAAACCTGGACTCGTATTTCGAGTTAATTTCTGTCATAACTGTCTTAAGAGGGTCTTGCAGCAGTTTTATTTAGTTTTCATGTGCTTGTTTTCGTAGGATCCAGTAATATTCAGCGGCAATCTCCGTCTCAACCTTGATCCTTTTGAAAGCCACACGGATGAAGAACTGTGGAAAATCCTCGAATTGAGTCATTTGAAGAACTTCGTGTCAGGTTTAGAAGAAGGACTTCTGTATCCTATTAGCGAAGAAGGAGGGAACCTTAGGTACGTTTAACCTTAAACGCTGTGGTTTTTTGTTATTGCTATTGTTTTTCTTTTTTTCCTCAGTTTGAAATGCCATTGTAAAATGGCGCTTTAATATCTTTAACGCCTACTCTAAGATTACCCGATTTTTTTCTTTTTTTTTTTTTTTTTTNTTTTTTTTGATCAGCATTTGGAGAATTATGGCCAAATGTAGTTCCTTTAAACACGATTGTGTCTACAAACCACGAATTTTTTTACTTCTCGCGAAATTTGACTCGTCCATTTTCGCGACTGTCAAAGTTGGAGTTTTAGCTTCCCATTCTATGAATGTACAGAAAACGAAGCAGTCGATGGGCATTACTGCGAAAAATGATAGAATTCATTGATTTTGATCAGACTGGCTGAACACCAAAGCGTGTTTAATACCATACTATCGTTTTACTTCCCCTCCACAGTGTTGGTCAGCGGCAGTTGGTGTGTTTAGCGCGTGCGCTGCTCCGTAAAAGTAAGGTCCTGGTTCTCGATGAAGCCACGGCCGCGGTGGACCTGGAAACTGATGAACTCATTCAACAGACAATTCGTCGTGAGTTCTCTGACCGCACAGTGTTCACCATTGCGCATAGGCTCAACACCATCATGGACTATACCAGGTTTGTATTTGAACTGACCTCGACAGTTCAACATTTTTGCGTGTGTGTTGTTTGTTTTTGTTGGTTGTTTATTTTGTTAACTGGTACAAGTGGAATGAAGCTTACGCCAATTTTTGAGAGCGCGTGTTCTATGCCCTTGGCTTGGTGTCATAAGCAAAGCTTTCCTGATGTAGTGTTGACTTGGTCATTTTTTTAGGATCATGGTTTTGGACAAAGGTTTCGTGGTGGAGTTCGACAGTCCTGAAAACCTGTTGGCTCAGCGAGGGATATTCTACAGCATGGCTCAAGACGCTGGATTAGCTTAATTCTTTTATTTTGATCCATCTATTCCTGTATTATTA